GGGGAGGAGAGGGAGGAGGAGGAGGAAGAGCAGAGATATGGAGGTTTGAAAGTAAATAGCCCCCAAAGGGAGTGGCACTATGAGGAAGTATGGCTTTATTGAAGTAGGTGTGGTCTTGTTGGAGGAAGTTTGTCACTGTGAGGCAGGCTTTGAGGTCTCATACATGCTCAAGTTGGGCCTAGTAAAACAGTGTACATCCTGTTGCCTGTATTTCAACAGGTAGGAGCTCCTTCTCCAACACCATGTCTGCCTGCATGTCACCATGTTTCCTGCCATGATGATAATGGACTAAACTTCTGAAAATGTAAGAGACATCAATAAAATGCTTTTCTTTTATATGAGCTGCTGGGGTCATAGTGTCTCTTCACAACAATAGAAATCCTAACTAAGACAAGAGACAAAACATGTTTAGTAGAATTTGAAGATTTATTAAGCAATGGCAGTATTGATGGGGAGTGAGTCTACCATTTCAAGCACAATATATGACAATTACATAATTTAAGAAAGAGAATACTCATTAGGAATAGGAAATTACAGCATCTTGAACAACAACAAAAATAATGCTAAAAAATACCATGGAAGTCCAGAAAAAGTACCCTTGTGTCTTTGTTAATTAAACCAGTGACTGATAAAATTTCTGTAATAAGTTTCTCCTACTCCTTTTATCTATTTGCTCTTTGATCACCCTTACATATGACAATAAGTTTGCAATGTAATTTTCCTTAAGAAGATAAGTAGTTTGGTCTTTCTTCCAATTTTATGGATCAACATCTATTATTGAGGGCCAAAGAATGTAGCTCAGTTGGTAGACTACTTGCCTAACATGGACTAAGCCCAGGGTTTGATCTCCAGTATTGCATAAACTGGATGTGGTAGTGTACATCTGTAATCCCAACACTCAGATATGTGAAGGCAGGAAGGTCAAAAGTTCAAGATCATCCTTGGCTACATAGTAAGTTCAAAGCTAGCCTGAGATATAAGAACCTGTCATATACACATTGCTAAATCTGTGTACAGAAAACACCACCACACACAAACTTACCCACTGTAGTACTGACAGTGGAACCATTAAAGTAGGAACTAACAAATTGCATTTTGTATCAGTCACCTCAAAAGAAAAATGTGCACTGTATAATAATGCATATTTCTCAATCCTTTCCTTAAAGGATCATATTTCTAATGATTGCATGTACAAACCTCTCCCAAACGTTCTCCCTGTTGCATTGGGGACACACATTTGTTACAGGGACCATAAGACATGTTCAAACATGAACTCTATCTCATTCTCCATGCTTTTCTGTAGGAAACAATTACAGACTCAGGGGTGGGAGTGAGGGCTACCGAATGAAAGGAGAGCCCAATTCAGATGCTCAATCAGCTGTCCTTGTGAATACAAGAGTGTGGGAAGCTGACATCCTCATGGTAGAAACAAAAAGTGACAGAGTGAGACACCGTCCAAAGAGAGAACCAAAGTGATCTTCAAGCTGATGTGAGAGGCAAGAAAAATAAGCTTGGGGTGGTACCTAAACAATGACATCTTTACAGGAGCTAGATAGATATTCAACGGTTCAAAGTGAATAGAATTTTGCAAAGGAATCCAGTTCAGTTCCCAACACCGGTACTGGGTAACTCCAGCTCCAAGTGGATCTGAAGCCTCTGACTCACAATCGCATGCTCATATCCCCTAGACGCATGCACTCATGTACACAATTAAAAATAATAAAACCAGTCCTTAAAGAATTATCAGTTGAATCAGAGTTTTTTCTCTTCATATCTTGAAAAAAATCATATGGAGGAATCCAAATTGTTACTATTATGATGTCAACTAATATTTCTTAAAATTTCTCCTGCCATTCCCTGAAAAACCTGATGAGATCAGAGACGAGAACAACCAGTCACCATATATTAGCTATGGCCCCTGCCTTCCTCTGGCCTTCCTGATACTTAGCTTGTTTCTGTTATCCTTAATGCATAGTAATTTACCAAATCTTCCAGTGAGCCATATGCAGGGCTTCATAACTGACATATAGAAGATAGAGTCTAAAGAAACCTTAAGATCTCATGCTGTATAGGAAAGTTGTACATTAGTATTTACTGTAAATGCAAATGTTTCCTTACATAAGATAGCAAATAGTGTAGTTGACCCACTCAACAATTTCCATTTTTTTCTACTTTCACTACCTGCCCTGAGAGATAAAAACTCACTATTTCGGAGACTGTTGCAAGAAGGGCAGGGAATGTGACACATTTCTAGTCAAGGAGAAGAAAATATCTCTTGGGAACTTCGAAGAAAAAGAAATGTTCCTTTCTGCTAGCTCCTGCCTAGGATGGATGCATAACTGTGAGAGCAGTGCAGCTATCTCAAGATATTAAGAGGGGGAAATGAAGAGACTCAGAGACTTCAGCCTTGCCATCCATGCCCAGTAATTCACTGGTAAGGTTCACACAGTTCCAGCACTTTTGTATGAAAAACTTAGCTGTATGTATTCATTCCACTATCAGCCCACCTTTCTGCTGCAGGCAGACAATTCCTAACAGATACATAGGTGGTTCCCTAAAATAGCTTATTTCCTTTAACTAAATCTAAATTAACTTCTCATTTGTAAATTAGCTATTTTATCTCCAATACCATAGTTTAAGAAAGAATTTAATAACAATCACCTAAGAGTTCTGGATAGTGGAAATTATCAACTAAAGAAGGAATCATATTAATTTTATAAACAAAATATAATTAACATACAATAAACTAGTGAAATAAGAAGATCTGAAAGTAGAAGTAAGACAAAATCCCAAGGTTAAAGAGTTTAATAAACAGCAACTGATGAATGTTACTTACAGTCAACAGTCTTTACCTTGGAAAGCCCCAAGCTCATCACTGATCTTTGTTAACCAACCAGCTTTGCGACTCTAGACCTGCCTGTGTGCTCAGAACTAGAAAATATCACAAAGTTCCTCCCTAAAAATGTTTTCATCTTGTCCAGAAACTTGGGAGAAGCCACACACCCCAAACAAGCAGCAAGCAGGAGATATGGAGGCTGTGAAAAGGTAATGGGCAGAAGACAATCTCACCAAGATTACATTCCATAAAGCGGAATTGGCAACATCTGCTCAATCTACTGTAGATAAACAGTGAACTATTTTCCATGTCAACAACAGAGAGGATGAGATATTAAATAAACCCCAGGGGCCTTGTGCTTTGTTATCACATTTAAGCCTTGGCCCAGACTTGCTGTGTTGGCTAATCTCAGTGGTGGTTTATAGTTTTCTCTTCTGTCTTTAACACACACCACACACACACACACACACACACACACACACACACACACACTTCCAAATGGCTTAAGAAAAAAAGTCTCTGCTTAATTTGACTATTTCTCTAATTACTAGACACTTAGCTTACATTATTAACTATGTCTTCAGCTGTGATATATGATACCTGTAGGTCTCCAAACAGGATTCTAATAGAATTATCTAATTCTATTAAATTGCAAACAACTGTCCATTAAATATTTATTAGCCAGCTTGCATTCACTGAAGATAGATTAGCGTGTCAGCAAACCCCTGGCTCCCCTTTCTCAGAGCCCAGTGGCATGAGGGCTCAGCCAAAGCAGCTCATCAGAACTATGTGTATTGATCACCTGCCAATTACCTGTTTAATCAAAATCAATGGAAACAAAAATAGTTTAGAAGAACTTACAAGGTGTGATATGGATTTTTTCTAATACTTGGTTAAAAAAGTAAATTGGCTAGAATCTAGCTAAGTTGATTGTAAACACTAAAGGCTTATTTCACCATGGGAGTAACTACTGGCAGATAAATAATTAGATTTTCTTTTTCAGATTGGTGAATTTGTATTTTTAATAGAGAGTTGAAGAACTGTTGGATTTAGTCACCAGGGAGAAAAACTCTTTGACATTGAGGTTTGGGGCTGAAATACCTACTCTTTTAGAGCCATATGAAAGATAACCTGACACCTTTGGCAGACAACCCTTCTTCAGATGGGAAGCATGTGGGCAGTTTTAGACAATCAGATTATGCAAGATGGCATGTATCCTCTCACTAAAAATGCAAGAACCAGCTGGTTTCTTGCTGAGGATCTGGGAAGAATGAACAAGGAATATCAGTGCTCCAGAAAATCCACTTGAACAAGAACTGTTCAAAATGTGAAACTCTAAATCAACTCTAAACCAAAAAAGAAAAAAAAAAGCCAGAATGGAGAAAGAAAAGGAACAGGAGCCATGACATCAGACCTTTGTTCAACTGTCCAATAATCAGAGAAAATCATACCAGGAAAAAAAAAAAGGCATTGCTATGGCATGTGAGCAGCAGCTGCAGGCACGGCTCACTCCCAGTGGCTACCTTAATGGAGTCATCCCCAACCGCAGCTTTAGAGTTTGATTTTAAGAAATGCTACTGTCCAGAGTACAGTAGCTAGGAAAATTGTGAAAATTAGCACTAGACTCTGCCATCATTAAAAGCAAACCAACCAAAATAAAATAAACAGCTAGTGCAATCCAAAAAATTAACTTCATAAGCTTGCCCTGAATGAAACTAGGCCAAAATAAATGGGTGTTCTGTATAATTGTTCATTTAAAAAAATAAAACTCGGGGTGCTGAGGCCGTAGCCTGTAGGTCCTGAAGAATGAAGATTTGAAAGCAAGGCCATGGTTAAACACCTGAAGTTCATTGCCTGGACTGTGATGGTTCACGAGGGGAACGTGGAAGGTGCATACAGGACCCTGACCACAATCCTCACTATTGATGGGCTTACAGAAGTCATAAAGCAAAGGCACTACTGTAAGACCTCCTGCCGCCGCTGCCAGCGGGAGAGCTATGAAACATGCCGGAGGATCTACAACATGGAAATGGCTCAAAAGATTAACTTCTTGATGCGAAAGAACCGGGCAGATCCATGGCAGGGCTGGTAAGGCCTGTGGATAGAAGGCCTACATTAATTCTATGTCTAACTCTTTTCTTTATACAACCCCATTTTCTGTTACCTTTCTCTTCAGTAAACTCAATCACACATGAACAAGAAGGCTTAAACATATAGAAGCTATCTCATCAGTCCACAATGAACCCTTTTATTAAAAAAAAAATCCATCAAAAAATGGAATAGGAGCCGAACGTTGGTGGCGTACGCCTTTAATCCCAGCACTCGGGAGGCAAAGGCAGGTGGATCTCTGTGAGTTTGTGGCCAGCCTGGTCTCCAGAGCGAGTGCCAGGATAGGCTCCAAAGCTACACAGAGAAACCCTGTCTAGGAAAACCAAAATCAAAGCGAGCGAGAGAGCTTGCTCCTTTATAGAGGGCCTTGGTTTGGTTCCATCATCTATTGGCTGGCTCACAAGGTCTTTAACTTCAGTTCCAGGGGACTTCTCGTCACCTGGTCTCTGGAAGTACGTAGTACACATATTTACAAAACTTTTTTTTTGTCTTTCAAGACAGGGTTTGTCTGTGTGCAAAACACTTTATAAAGAAAATATAAATAAAATTTTAGTGAATGTGGAAAATAATAAATAAAACTCAAAGCCAGGAAAACTTAAGCTATTTTTGAGGAGATTATGGCTTCCTTTGGTAATGAGGAAGCTTATAGTGACTGGAGAAGGGGTTAGCAGGGATGGCTCAGATATTGTTTGGTAATAATTTCATCTTGAAGCTGGTTACAAGGAACTAATCTATCTCAGTTTTTTTCCACTTTCTGGATGTATATGATTTTTTCAATAAAACGTTTACTGTCCCTGTCCCAAAAGTGAAACAACAGAGCAATTTATTTGAATGGCCTCTGGCAAGTCACTTATCTCTGGACTTCAGAGTTCCCATCATGTGTAAAATAAAGCAGTTGAACAAGATGATCTTCAGATTTCTATTGCAGAAATGCACTGATACTACAAAAACTGCAAGTCTCTCAAGAACAAAATGGATCAATAAATCTGTACAGCCATCAATCCCATGTTGGCCATCCAATCTCACATTTTACACCTTCACCCTTTTCTTTGGTTAAATAAGGAAAAGAATTCTAGAAGGTTTGGAGGTACCCAGGCAATTATATCTCTGTCTGGATTAGATAGGTAGGAAGATAGATAACTCAGTAGATAGATGGATGGATGGATAGATAGATGAAAGATAGATTATAAATACATAGAGAGATGATGATGATGAAGAAAGATGATTGATAGATAATAGATGATAGATAGATAGATAGATAGATAGATGATATGACAGATAGATAAAAAAAACTAGTCTTAGAAAATCAGACAAAACATTTTGCAGCAAAACAGATGTAACTGCAGACCATCATATAATGTGAAATAAGCTTGGAAAAATAAATAATGCATCTTTTCTCTCATATATTGAACTCCGAGAGGAGAGAGAGACAGAGACAGAGAACATGAATGGAAAAAGGAGACTATTTTGGAAAGTAGGACTCAAGGAAGTATGGAGGAGACAGGAGAAAGTAACAGAGGTGAACATGACCAAGGTACATGATATATTTGAATAAAACTGTCCTTATGAAATTCATTCACTTTGTATAATAAATATATGCTGATAGGTTTATGTTTGGTTGTAAAATAATAAATAAATGACCCAGAGACTGGTATTGGGGTTCAAGCTTCAAGCTTAAGGTCAGAAAGAAAAGCAAAGTAGCCAGTCACTAGTTCTTTCCTCTACCTCACCTCAGACCAAAAGGGACAATCCTCAAACTGCTCCTGACTTCACTGCTCCTCAGATTCACTCATACTGCTAAGCTCTCTGCAATGTGGCTAGAGACTAATCCAGAGACTGAATGACTCTACCTTTTATACCTCTCAAATCTGGGGATTAAAGGTGTGCACTCTGATTCACTCTCGGGTAGCCCAGGGTTGTCTTGAACCCAGAGATCCATCTACCTCTTAATCCCGAGTCCTGGAGTTAAAGGTGTGTATCACCACTGCCTAATCGATATAGTTTGAGACTGGCTTTGCTTTCTGAATCCTTAGTCATGCTTTAATAAATCATAAATAATATATCACCACATTTTTGTTTGTTTAAACAATATTTTACATAGCTCAGGCTGGCCTGAAACTTGCTGTGTATCCAAGGCTAGCCTTGAACTCCTGATCCTTCTGCCTTTACCTCCCAAGTACTTCAATTTCAGGCATGTGCCACTGCACCCAGCAAAACTATTTTTTAAAAAGGAAGAAGTTCAGATGAAACAAGGGAAGGAAGACAATGAACAGATAATTCCAAGCCACTTAATTTGCTGCTTTCTTTTTAACTGTTCAGTTCTTCCTTATTCTCAAGAATCTGCCTCTGATGTTTCTTTCAGTTCTCCATCCACATGGAATGTGGTCCCAAGTCATTTGGTCCTAAGAATTCATAGTTCATTGCCCTGAAATTAGGTAGTATGGGCTTCTAAGGAATATTGAAACAAAATAACACATCCCTCTGCTTTTCCACCTAATTGCCTAATGTTCCCTCCCTCCTTTAGAAAATGTTCTGAGATTGAGGCAATTATATCATGAGCTTCATCCACAATGAAGACAATGCTAGGAAGTCAAGAGCCTGGTGCATTTACAGAAGAAACAATACTGACACATCTCCTCCTACTCAGCCAAGGACCAGAAGAAAGGAGAATGTTGTGACAAAATGAGGCTGGCTACTCAGTATTCATTCCCCACTTGGCACCATATTATTGCTAATTCTCCTTGTATGCCTACAAGAAAAAAAAAAACTTGTGGATTTAACCACATGGTGAGAAAACAAAATTCCACCAATGGTCTCCTTTCCATAAATAATTGTAAGCCATAGTAAAGGGTTCCATTTCTCAACTATTAGTTACCCATGGAACTGTACTGGAGCATGGCTGAAATTTCTGTTCATCTGTGGTAGGAAGTGGAGCGTAGGTCTCTCTGCTCATAGAGCTTTATTAGGGCATGCTTGAGATTCATTGGGGAATGAGTAAATGTCACCAATTCATAGCTAAAGTAATGGACAGATAGGACCTAAGCCCCTCAAGTATGAAATATTACAACTTTTAAATTCCCTAGTAGTGCATCTCTTAAAAGGACAAAATAAAGTACAAATCAAGAATTGTTCTTTGGAGGAATATTCCTAGATCATGTTGTCAGGAAACGAATAATATGTCATTCCTCCTTAGCTTCCTGGGAGAGTGGAAGTGTCAGGAGAATATGCAATGAGCAAGCTACCTGATGCTGTGCGTTAGGAATCTTAAACAGAGACCAGAAGCAGGTGGATTGCTTTTCCTTAACAAGACACAAGCATCTCTGGAGAGCACACCCTCCCCAGGCAACAAGCTGCCTTTCTAAATGTCTTTGTTTGATTCTCTCCAAACTAGGGCTGAGGTTCTGCTTTCTGCAGAAGAAGATTTTGAATGCACAGTTAGCCCTCCTTAACCAGAGGCTCTACATCTTCTGACGCAGCCAAAACCATACACCAAAAATATTCAAGATATGAAAAAAACCAACCTATGTATGTCCTGAATATGTACAAGCATTTTTACGGTTATTTTACCTTAAGCAATACATCATAGCCCCTACTGATGTAGCATTTGCACTGTGTTAGAAATTGTAGGTAATCTAGAGATGGTTTATTGAGGGAGGGGTTGCAAAGATTATACACAAATACCACAGCATTTTACATGAGAGATTTGATCACCCATGAATTTTAGTATCCCACAGGATTGCCTGTGGATCCCAAGGAACAACTCTATATATTTAGATGTCAATCTGCTTTCCAGATCTTTGGGGGGAAAAGTGATTGTTCCAATGTTATTAACCCATAACAAATGTCATTAATCTAAGCCCATTAAACAAAGGGTCTATGGCTGAACAGCCTTTCCTCCCCTCTGGAAGTGGAAAGGAGTCAGTGGGAGAGCTGGACACATAAAGAGAGTCAAAGAGGGAAAGGAGACTCACTGCTACAGCTAAAACTACCCTCTAAGGAGCTAAGGGCTACTCAGATGCTAATCCTCTGGAGGCTACAAGTCAACCCTGAACCACTGCTGGGCCTGAGATTTCTAATCGTCCCCTCCATGCTTGTCTTCCATAGTAATAGAAGTTTTATCCGTACACATAGCTGCTAAATTAGGCTCCATTTCCCAGGCTTCCTTAAAGGGGGCATGGCTGTGCAACAAGTCAGAGAGGAATGGAAGCAGAAATTTCTTGTACAGCTTCCTAGTAGTCATGTTTGAAAGACAAAGCACACGCAATCCCGTTATTCTTTGTCTTTCCAATTGCCAGAATTCAGACATGGTGATAGGAGTTAAAGAACCCACCACAGACCAAGAGAAAGAAGTCACATGGTAAAGAAGGAAAAAGTAGTGACTAGAGAGATGCCTCAATGGTTATGCCACAAGAGTGTTTGCTGCTCTTATAGAGATGCAACCTCATAGGACAGCTCCCAAGCACCTGCAACTTCAGCTCCACCTGTAACTCTATCTCCTTCTTCAGGCCTTTGTGGGAACCCACAGACAGATGACATCCACTGACACAGACACATATATCATACATAAAAATGAAAATAAAATCTATTTTTAAAAGGGGATATGTAACAATGAAGAAGGGGCTGAGTCCACAAACTGAAACCCAAAACTGATTACACTCAACAGCCAAGCCTGGATTGTACAACAACCAACAGTCCTGTCCTCTCCATCTTTTGTGCTATTGGAAGTGATGATTTTCTCTTCCCTTTACTTTTTCAGGCAAAACAGATTTGCCCAACCCCCCAGCAACTCTACCAAAAACACATTAATACACATAAACAACTTGTAGAATTGTGGTCATCTGACCCACAAGCACTGTCCAGTGAAAGTGGAAGGAGGC